AACTTTAAACACAGAAAACAATGGAGTAATGATGTTTACAAAGTTCTGGGAGAAAGAACATGGGACCCAGGAATATCTAGTCAATATTCCATTCAGGCGTACCCCAGACAAGGGGGCTCTGTGACACAGCAAAGCAAACAAAGAAAAAAACTCTGTTATGAAATCCAGCCAACCCATGAACAAATCAAAATGAAGAATGGAATGTAAAAGCTGTAATAAAAAAGAATGGCGGCAAGCATTACATCTACTCCAGTGTAGACTTAAAACCAAACAGCTAGGGGAGACACAGCTGTGACAAAGACGGGCCTGTATGTACAAGTGATTGTTATAAAATAACAATTATACAAGTAACACGCATAATCAGAAGAACAGGGTGGAGGAGGAAGTAAAAAATCACGATCAGCTCATCTTTCACTATGAAGAGTCAATGCTGCCCTAAATTGAAATTCGTATTTAAAAATATTTCAGTCTCTCAGTGATTTTCATTAAGATGTGACATTCTATCTAATACACATATAAAATGATACTATCCATATATTAAACTTTTGAGAAGGATTTTAGGTATCCATATTTCTGAGCTACTCAGCAATCTCTTCAGGTTTTGTTTTGTTTTTCTGAGTCAGGGTCTTGCTCTGCCACCGAGGCAGAGGCATGATCACAGTTCACCACCACCTTGATCTCCTGAGCTCAGGTGATCCTTCCACCTCAGCCTTCCAAATAGCTGGGACTACAGGCATGCGCCATCACGCCTAATTTTTTTTGTTTTGTAGAGACAAGGTTTTGCTTTGTTGCCTTGGCTGGTTTCAAACTTCTGGGCTCAAACAATCCTCCCGCCTTAGTCTCCCAAAGTGTTGGGATTACAGGCGTAAGCCACAGCACCTGACTCTTCAGCTAGTTTCAATTATTTTTTCTTCAGTTAAATTCTAGGAAAATTAAAGTACAGTAATACTTTATATTTATTTATTTAATTGAGTCTTAGTCTCTCTGTTGCCCAGGCTGGAGTGCAGTGGCAGGCTCATGGCCACTGCAACTTTGACCTACTGGGCTCAGGTGATCCTTCCGCCTCAGCCTTCCAAGTAGCCAGAACTACAGGCACATGCCACCATGCCCAGCTAATTTTTTGATTTATTGTAGAGATGAGGTCTTGCCAAGTTTCCTAGGCTGGTCTCGAACCCGTGGGCTCAGGCAATCATCTCACCTCGACCTCCCAAAGTGCTGGGATTATAGGCATGAGCCACCAAATCCAGCAATACCTTATATTTAATATTAGCATGTATACTTTGTGAGAGTCTCTTTCTCACACCCCTCATGCTACATAGAGAGATGTTTTGTCCTCCACAGGTTTACGTGGCTTATTCCCAGATAACAGTATTAGTGACTTGTTGCTTTCTTCTTTACATATCTCTACAAGTCTTAAATTTCTCAATAATATGCATATATCATTTTTATTAAAACAATACACTTTTTAAAAAAGATAAGCCGGGCTCGGTGGCTCAGCCTGTAATCCCGCGCCTTTGGGAGGCTGAGGTGAGTGGATTGCCTGAGCCCGTGGGTTTGAGACCCGCCTGGGCAGCGAGACCTCATCTCTACAATAAATCAAAAAATCAGCCAGGCGTGGTAGCGTAATTCTGGTTACTTGGAAGGCTGAGGCAGAAGGATCGCAGAGCCCAGCAGGTCGAGGTTGTGGTGTCCGGGAGCGGCCATTGCACTCCAGTCTGGGCGACAGAGTGAGACTCCAACTCAAAAAAAAAAAAAAAAGTACAGATAGTCCTGAAAGGTATCCTAAAAACCCATACAACACGGGTGTGGACCTGCAGGCTTTTCTGGGCAGAGCAAGACAGAGAAAAGAGAGGGTCTTCAAACTTGGAGTCTTCTCGTCTAAGCATCTCATCTAAGCTGTCCATCAGAGTATGAGTTGATGTCTGTGTTGAGGTCTGTGGTTGAACCTCTTTCCTCTCCTCCACTCTACCTTTCCAAATTCCAATTCATCAAAATGCAAAATATTTCATTTATTTACTTTACCTTACCAAGCACTTATATGGCACTTATAATCCACCAAGCAGGCTGGACACAGTGGCTCACGCCTATAATCTCAGCACTTTGGGAGGCCAAGGTGAGAGGATTGCCTGAGCCCATGGGTTTGAGACCAGCCTGGGCAACTTGGCAAGACCTCGTCACCACAATAAATAAAAAAATTAGCTGGGCATGGTGGCATGTGCCTGTAGTTCTAGCTACTTGGAAGGCTGAGGCAGAAGGATCAGCTTAGCCCAGCAGGTCAAGGCTGCAGTGGCCATGAGTGTATCACTGCACTCCAGCCTGGGCGACAGAGACTCCAACTCAAAAAAAAAAAAAAGCGCCAAGCACCGTTCTAAGCACTTTACACATATTAAATCATTGAATACTCATAGCAGTCTAATAAGGCTGATGCTATGATGATGTGTTTTTGTAGATAAAGAAACTGAGGTACAGAGAAGAGAAATAACTTGGCTGATAACATGAATACCCTGTTTGACACTATCTTCTAGGTAACCTGCATGCCACCTCTTTCAGACAGTCAACTGATGTGTGCTGGGCACTTCCAGGGAGCCCTTCATTAGAGGCTCTCAGCAATGGACACTGAGAACAGTTTTAAAATAAGTAGACAGACAGGAGAGAAGGAAGACCCAGCTTGTGTTTTCAGAATCTCCTCTGTGCTGTCCTTGGCATTCCCTAGGAGCTGTTGTGTGTTGGAGTGGCTGTGTAGTATAGGACTGTTCTGATATGTGCCTTGAAATGATTGTTCCGAATCCTAATTTCTACTAGTGGTTGCAAACTGGTGGTCCACAGAATCTGGTCTCTGCAGGGGCCAAGTGCTGCCTTTCTGTGAAATGCAGTGTTTTCTTAAAATCCCAAATCATGTTTATTATACTATTACTTAAATAGATACAAACATACAACAGTTATACATGTTTAATGTTTATAGTATTAATAAATCAGAACCAAAAATTATAAAAACCTTCAAAACTTCACAACCAGTAACGTTGAAATCAATATTGGTTCATGCAAGAAAAATATTATGAAACACTTTGAAATGACCAGGAAAAAAAGACTGGATATCTTGTCTAGTACACACTTCTAGGTTTTATGTGCTTTTTATTGTCTTAGACCTATTTTACAAACTTGTAACGGTACAAGCTGTAGAAAATTGATAGTAATGAAAATCATTCTTTTCCATAGAAATACAAATGCATTGTGTTGTATCCAGCAGAGAAACAGTGCGTTATTGCTCTGTGGACATTGACCACTTTTATACCTATTTCTAAATACCTTTCAGCATTCCTAATTGCCTTGTGCATTGTAAATTCTTTTTTGAGCTAGCAGTCATGTCTTACTGCTTCTTTTATGAATGACTCCATTAAAGTCTTTGACATATTTTACACTTGCAAGAGAATCATCATTTTACCTTTTCTAGAAATTATCCTTTAACATTCATTTGATGTAGCACATTAGGTTTTCCTGATGTGAAATTGTCTCTGAAATTTCTCCCTTTTTAAGTACATGGCAGGCAGTGATCAAGCTCATGGAGGCACTCTGTCCCACTGCAGCATTTGCAGTGACGGCAGACGTGAGTCTGTAAATATCAGGGACGGTTATGCCCACGTTTACACTCATATCTTGTTGAGGTTTTGGAAATGATGCCTGGAGTTGATCTTGGACTTTGGGGAAGACTTGTTACTGGGTCTGCCTACTTCCTGTCTCCCCTCTTGCTGTGACTGGGCAACATCTGGGCAGGGGTTTCCTAAGTTGCTGTGAGGCAACTTGGGCCCCAGGGAAGTTAGGGATGTGAGGGCCTTGAAGTTAGACTTCTTGATGAGTTATTTGGGTTGTTTGACCTCTGCATCCTGCCCCCCAAGACCACCTCAGTAGTTGCTCAGCAAGGGGTGAGGGACAAGAACCTCCCAAATTGGGTAGAATATGCTCAGTTCTTAGCCTCTGGACCTATGTGATCTAATGTGGTAGCCACTTCCCAAGGGGCTATTGACAGCTGAAATGTGGCTGGTGTGAATGAAGAATGGGATTTTTCACTTTTAATTTTAACTCATTGAAATTTTTAAATTGATTCTTGATTCAGTTATTTGACAACATAGTATATCTGGAACCACTTACTTATGTGCAAATGCCTTCTTACCACACATTTTATGGAACGTAAATACAGAGCATGTATTGCCGATGACAGTGTCTTTCTCAGATTGAAATATGCTGCCAATGTAAAATAAACACTAGATTAAAGTCTCTTCAAAAGAGAAGGTAAAGCAGTCCATTCGTATTTTTGGTATTGATTACAGGTTGAAATGATAATATTTTGGGTATGACGGGTAAAACATTGTGTTTTGTTTTTGTTTTTGAGGCAGGATGGCAGTGGCACGCTCTTGGCCACCGCAGCCTCTACCTGCTGGGCTCAGGCCATCCTTCCGCCTTAGTTTTCCAAGTAGATGGAACTACAGGTGTGCACCACCATGCCCAGCTAATTTTTTGTAGAGATGTGGTCTCGCCAAGTTGCCCAAGCTGGTCTCAAACCCGCGGGCTCAGGCAATGCTCTCACCTTGGCCTCCCAAAGTGCTGGGATTATAGGCGTGAGCCAACATGCCAGTCAAAATATTGTTAAAATCCATGTTATCTTCCTTTCTGTTTTTAAACGTGGTGCTAAAATTTTCAAATCATTTCTGCAACTCACATCGCTGGGACAGGCGTTCTGAGATGAATTCCCCCTTTCCTCTCAGTCTGTTCCTTCCTCATTTAGGACAGGTGGTTCTGCTTAGTTTTCCTGATCCCGGACAGCTTTTTTCTCTCTCCTAGGCCATCTCAGCTTGCAGAGCTCCTCGCAGGGGTTTGAGGTTCTGAGCATCGAGTCCCAGGTGACCCTATAGGAAGGCTCTGGCAATTCCAGACTCCAGCCGCCAGAGGGAGCTGCGTCGCTACCGCAGTTGCCGAGCAACTCATGGCCCGGAAGCAGTTCTCCGCTCCGTTCCTCGGCAGACGCGCGCGGGGTGACTTCCAGCGGATCCGGGGAGGGTTCACGGCGAGCCGGGATACGGAGCGGCGGCGGCAAAGCGATGACCACGCTCCGGGCTTTCACCTGCGACGACCTGTTCCGCTTCAACAACATGTGAGTGAGGCGCACCCCGAGCCAGCCCTCCCCGGCCGTACCCCCTCACCCGGTCCGGGAGCTGCGGAGCCCCCCTCGGGGTCGCGGGGCTGGCCGACCGGGGTGGACGCGCGTCGGCCTTGGTGACCCTGGCCCGGCCGCTTCGACGTCATCCCCGGACCCCGCCGGCTCGTGGGGCGGGGGCGGCGCTCGGGGTTGCAGTCGGGTGACGGAGCGAGAAGGGGGCGCGGCCGGAGCCACGGGGCAGCGACCTGGCAGCGGGCATCCCCGAACTCCCGCCCCAGGGCGGTTGCGAGGTCGGGATGTGCCCACTGTGCAGCCCACCTGGCGGCCGCGGTGACATGTGCCCGGGCGAGATGACACGGGCACCTGGGCGCGGCCGCGCTCCCCGCTTGGGCCGCTGTGTTCTGGGCGAGGAGTCAGGCGGTGGCCTATGCGGGGAGGCCCCCGATCGCAGAGCCCAGTGTCTTGCGGGCGCTTTAAAAAGAGAGAGAGAGAGAGAAAAAAAAAAACTTTTTATTATGAACGTTTGGAAAAGTTGGAAGGATTGTACTGTGAGCTTTTGTAGACGCATCCCCGGATTCTGCAGGAAACGTTTTGCCCGTCGGCTTCATCACCCAGATCCGTCTGTCAACCTCAGATCCACTTTAAAAACCACAGGGCAGGTCCTTTGCCGAGTGGCTCATGCCTCTAGTCCCAGGACTTTGGGAGACCGAGGTGAGAGGATTGCTCAGATCAGGAGTTCGTGGCAACATAGCAAGACCTTGTCCCTACAAAAGATTTTAAAAATATGCCTGACATGGTGGTTCAGCGCCTGTTGTCCAAGCTATTCATGAGGCTGAGGAGGGAGGATTGCCTGAGCCCAGGAGTTCGAGGCTTCCGTGAGCTGGGATCTTGCCACTGCACTCCAGCCTGGGTGACTGAGTGAGACCGCAATTCAAAAAAAAAGGCCAACAGAGCATAAATGCGAAAATAAAGGCCCTAGTGGCTCTGATGGTAGCATTGGGAGGATGAGAAGAGCCATGGGCCAAGGTGGCGGGTGAGCCTTGAAGGATGGGTAACATGTTGATGGGAGGAAGGGAATCTGGAAAAGGGGTGGCATGAAGATGAGAATACCTGAAGTGTGTTCAAAAGCGGGACCGTGTGAGCACAGTGGCAGGAGTCTGTCTCCAAGTAGCGAGGGAGAAGCCGGTGCAGCTGGTCTTTGGCTCATTGCTGAGGGATTCAGACTTGAACCTGCGGGAAGAATTTTCTCTTGGGCCTGTCTGGGTCAAAGCAGCTAAGCTTTGGAGACTTGAATTGACCTTCTGTGTCCTGTTCTGGTCTCTAATCCAGGAACCCCTCCCGATACTGGGCGGTGCTGTCACCCCTTTTCAGTCTGAGTAAACTGAGGTGTTGCACGTCCAGGTGAATGGCCAGACATGGAGCCCCAAGGTGAGAGTAGGAAGGGCGAGGAATCAGGCCAAGGAGACTGGCTCTGGTTCTTAGGAATTGGTCCCTGGCCACAGGGAGCAGCCTGGAAATGCAGGTTCTGCTTGAGAACCCCTGCTCTGGTGACTGTGGGGCAGTGACCCGTGGAGGTGAGCCAGGCAGGAACACTGTTTTGAGGTCATGGCAAGGCCCAGCGGTGAAGACTGGACTGAGGCTTTGTGTTGGGAGGTGACAAGTGTCTTGCAGCTCAAGAATAGGCAGGGTGAAGCCTCTTGGATCATTTCAGCTGAAGGTCTAGGGAGGGTGGACCCTGTCCTATGGAAATAAGTAGGAGGAAATCCTCAAGGACTTGGAGGATAAAGCATGTGACTCCAGGGCCACCTGGCTTGGGCAGGCTGCTGAGAACATACAAGGAGGGGCACCCGCTTCTCCTCAGTTCTCTTGTTCTTGCTTCTCTGATGAGGGTATTTTGATAGAAAACTCATCACTCAGATTAGGTGTTGCAGAAGGAAGAAACAGCCATGAACACAGAATACTGAAGTTAATTGACAAATGTCTTATTAATTCTTGGAAAAGCATTTGGGTGCCTACTGTGTGCCAGTGCCAGAGACACACAGGGAACCCAACAAAAAAGGGGTCTCTGTGGAACACATTCTAGAGGGGAAGCCAGTAAATGCAGGGGTGGAGCCAGTGTTCAATACAGGGGGGGATGGGAACAGGGGTTCAACTGTGGGTGCATCCAGGGAGGCAACTTTGAACAGGGAATTAGGATGACTTAGGGAAGGAGTCACAGGCATACTGGGGAGGAAAGCCCTGGTTGGAGGGGGGACCGCAAGTGCGTGCGGGATGCCTGTTTCAAAGGGGAGGCCACGACCAGCCAATGGGTGGAGCAAGTGTGGGAGTTGAGGGGATGACACCAGAGGACACAGGGACTACGTCCTGGAGAGACGATCCTGAGACTTGACTTCTCTGCCAAGACTGTAGGACGCTTGGGGAGTGCTCAGGCGGGAATCTGGGCATGGGGTGTCAAGGTGGGGTCTGGTGCTAGATAGAAGTGGAGTGTCAGCACTGAGTAGATGATGACCATCACCAGGAGGGCAGGTGGGAAGGAGAGGCCATAGGATGGTGCTCCGGGGCCCAGGTGTGAGAGGAGGCCATATGGCCAGTGAGGTGGACCGTCTGTGGCGGGTCTTAGGAGCGGAAAGGGACAGGAGTGGCTTGTGAAGAGCTGCTGGTGGCTGGGTGCACATCGTGTCTGTGTGCTTCTTCCAGGAAAGGGAGAAATGGGAGATGCAGGGTCAGAAGAGACAGAGAATGCAGGAGTAGGGTCCTGGTTGGTGGCGGTCTCTCACTGGTAGGTACAGGAGAGCAAGGAGCTTGTGGGAAGGGTCCCTGTACTGGGGATTGGGGTGGGACTCTGGTGTAGCTTTTTTCTTGCCGCTTCTTGGTGATGAAAGCAGAAGCCACAGAGATGGAGACAGTTACTTGGTGGGGAGTGGGGCCAGGGAGGACTGGGAGCCCTGCACCTTGTGAGAGCAGTGATGCCCCAGGTGTGGGGTAGGTTAGAGCAGGTATACTCCAGGTGTGGGCCAGGCAAGAGCAGGGGTGCTCCAGGTGTGGACTAGGTGAGAGCAGGAATGTTCCAGGTGTGGGCCAGGCAAGAGCAGGGATGCTCCAGGTGTGGGTCAGTGAAAGCAGGGATGCTCCAGGTGTGAGTTGGGCTCAGGGTAGCCCCTACACTGTTTCAGGAGGTCTATGAGGTCAGGGCTATTTTCACAATTTGTCTAAGAAGTGCCTTTTCTCTTCTCTCTCATTCTGTCATGAGCATACTCTGGGGTTTGCATATGTGGATTCTCACTACAGTGGGCACAACAAATGCTCAAGGATCCAGCTGTCTTTTAAGCATGATGAGGCAGCATTGTTCCAACAGTGCCACTGTTGTCAATATATATTTTTTGGTTTTGGAAATATAGTGATTTTGGAGGAAATTTATGTTAACATGTAATTGACTTATTGTTTTTGAATGAATACATATGTATTTAAAATTTATAATATCAATCGGTATAAGCCACATCAACCAGAATTCTTTGTGGTCCTCAATAACTATTGAGTGTAAAGGGGTTCTGAAACCAACACGTTTGAGAAGTGCTGTGCCTATAGTGCATATGAAATGTCATTTGACCTCCTGGTATCAAGGGTCTCCAAGAAAAACTTGATTAGAGGTGTGGGGAGGAACAGTTCAAAGTGACTGGATGTGAGCTTGGCAAGACAGTGGCTGCATACCTTGACTAGGAAGGGGAGGGGCAGAGCCGTGTGGGTGTGAGAAGATGTGGGTGTGAGGAGATGGACTTTCATGATGCAGGCGGGAACCTTCGTGCATCATCCTAGGGGACACGTGGAGGGAGGGGGAGCACATCCTGGGGGGACATTTGCCAGATAGGAATGGGACAGTGGGAAAGGGGGTGGGGTGTGGAGGAGGAGCAGGGAGCACAGTCTGGATAGTGGGAGGCCCACACAGAGAGTACAGAGTCAGGGGTACTTGCCAGGGAAGGAGAACTTGCCAGGGAAGAGCCAGATGGCAGGAGGTCTGCATGGTAGATGCTGCCGTGGCACCCTGGCCTCTGTCTGTGAGGTGTGTGCCTGATTGTCTCCGGTTGCATTAATGATGTACTGTGTTGCCAATTAGAACGTGCAAGAATCTGATGTAGGTGTATTAACTTTGAAGTAATTCGTAAAAAAACGCCTGTTAAAAGAAAATGTTTAAATACTCTATTGCTGCTGTGACAGCTCATTGTGGCCATTAGGTAGTTTAAACTGCCCTCCTCAGTTGTAAAGTTGGTTTTAAAGTTGTTGATTAAGCATGGTTTGCTTTTCTTGTATATTAGTTTTAGTTTTAGCAGGTGTATTTAAACTGGTTTTTGTAAACATTGCTTATTACTGACATTCTCTTGTTTCTTTCAGTAACTTGGATCCACTTACAGAAACTGTATCCTTTATTTAAAAGTTTAATGAAGATTTACTAAGAGTAAAGAAAATGGAGAAATGAAAGGAGGAAACAGACACATACTGAATGTTTTTAAAAATTTAACATTTTTAAATGTAAAACTTTTAAATTTAAAAAATTTTCTAAAAATTAAAACACTACAAAATATTTTACAAAGTACATACTACCTTGACAGATGGTTAGTATGATGACCTCATAGCCACCTCTAGCCCCAGCCGTGCCCACCTTGCCCCTCCTGAGCAGGTGTGGCTGTAGACAGCAGAAAGCCCAGTAGTTTCAGCAAGGGGGTCCAGGGCAGGCGGTGGTTCCATGGAGTCACAGCAGCCAGGCCCTCTGCAGTGCGACTGCTCTCTCATCCGCTGTTGGCCCTGGTCTTCCTGTTCCCAGTAGCTGCCAAGTGTCTGTGTTCCTGGCAGCAGAATCCACAGAGGTGAAGGTGAGCACGTCCGTCCTTCTTAAGAGCACCTTTGGGAAGTACCACATGCCTGTCTCATGACCAGCACCTGTGCCATGCCCCACCTGTGTAGTCTATCTAGAGTCCAGAATTATGCCTGCTTGCAATTGAGACTTGTTACATAAAGTAAAAAAAAAAAAAAAATGGATTTGGGGTAACAAATAACAGTCTCTGCCATTCCCCCAGTAGAAAAATTGGCAAAGATGTGTTAGGTACTCTGGATCATGCTGCTTATAACAGCTAATCCCATATCTTCAGTTACTCAAAACACAAAGTTTGATTTCTGGCTTATGCTCCATGTCTGTTGGAGGTGAGGGGGTGGGGTTCTCTTAGCTGATAATTTAACAAAAAAGTACATATAGGAGGCTAACAAATGTATTAAGTTCATAAGAGTTCAGTCTCACCAGTGTAAATATATATTCATTAAAACCAAAATGAGAAGGCATATTTTATGTCAAATCATCCAGGATTTTAAAAAATGATAAAACTCAGTGTTGATGATGGTGAGGTGAAAGGAGCATTCTCATATATTGCTAGTGACAGTATGCACTGCTATAATCTTTCTGGAAGGACTTTGGAAATGTAATACTCAGTGAATTCCATTTCCTGAAAGCTGAAAACAGTTAGAAATAGAGGCAGTTTATGTCAGGGGTCAGCAAGCTGAAGCCCCTGGGCTGAATCTGACCCAGTGCCTGTTTTTGTAAATAAAATCTTCAAAACATTCATGCTGATTAATTTATATTTGGTCTGTGACTTTCACAGTTTAAGTGGTTCTAGCAAAGTAGTTTTAGTCCACAAAACTTAAAATATTTGCTGACTGGCCTTTTACAAAAAATGTTTGCTATCCCCTGAGTTATGTCATTACAAAAATTATTTATTGCAGAATTACAGTATTAAAAATTTGGAATAACAGTCATGTACAGCAAGTAAGGAAATGGTTAAGTAAATTAAACTATATTTACGAAGGATATAACAAGTGTTTTGCGGAACTGGAAATGACCCCAGTGTCTGCTATCAGGAGACAGAATATTTAGATTATCGCTTCACACACGGGAGTACTTTATAGCAGGACTACATATCAAAAACAAAATTGAATGGAAAAAGCAAAAAATCCCTAGAGTCTTCATTTTCAGTATTTTAAAAGTTATGACTAAAGATACCACCATTTTGTTTTTGAAGAATTTTGAATGACACACAAATTAGCTGTATAGTAAGGGAAGATATGAGAATACTTAAATGGTGTACTTCCACTGACATCTAAACTTTATAGTAGAAGTTCCATAATCCAGGTGAGCCCATCTTTGAAAGGAGTCTATTAGTTCCTAGGGGTTGATGAGGGGTGGGTTGTCTGGGGCCCTGCTGTTAGCTGGAGGAGAGAGAGGGGTTCTGGCATGCATCAGTGGCTTGCTGGTCATTGTATTTGAGGAGTATTCAAAATAATGACCACCCTTCAGAGGAGATTTTGAAGAAGTTAACACTGAGCAGGTTTTCCAGGAACTTAAAAAACATACGCTTGATGGTGGCTTCTCATAAAATTGCATCAGAAAGCTTATATGAAGAAGAAATACATTTGCATCTATTAAAGTACAGGGTCAATAAAGGAGTGAATATTGTGTCACAAGGATACCAGGTTGAAGAGTAAAGTAATGAGCAGTTATTCAGGCATTTACTCTTAACATAAGTGATTCCTTGAGTCAGCTTTTATCTCTGTTACTAGAAGTGGAGAATCTGAATCAGTGGAGGGAAGAATACTGGGTAATTGTGAAGTTGCCTCTGGACTTAAGTTGTAAAGTTACTTTCTCAGTCTCACGGCTGAAGCCAAAGTAGGAACTTGCTGTTAATTTTCTGGTGCAATTATGGACATGTAAATATACTGAGCATCTACTGTGTAACAAGCTACTGGGAGAGAGTGGACACGCCACTCATAGTCTAGAGGAGGCCGGCAGTGAGCAGATGGGTGTTGGGTGGTCTCGATACCGAGTGATCAGCAGGGAGACAGATCTTAGAGGAACTCAGGCTGAATTCTCTGCTTTGGGCGAGATGGCGCTGTCTCCAGTCCATGCTGGAGGGTATGTGCCCAGGCAGTTTTGTTAAAAGTCACTGGTAACCTCAATGTGTCACATCATGGTATGATGATAGAAATCATCCATATTGAGGGCTGGGATAAAGTAACAATGTACTTTTTAGAGGAGACTTTTTCCAGAATGTTCCTTGAACCCATGACTTCACGCTCCTTAACAGCCTCCAGTATGGGATTCCCTTTTATCTGCAGTACCTTGCCCATTGGCCCGAGTACTTCATCGTGGCAGAGGCACCAGGCGGGGAGCTGATGGGCTACAGTGAGTATAGAGCCCTGGTGTGGGATTCAGATCTTACAGGCCAGGCTCCGTGGCTCAGCCTGTAATCCCAGCACTTTGGGAGGCTGAGGCGAGTGGATTGCCTGAGCCCGCAGGTTCGAGACCGGCCCGGGCAACTTGGCGACACCTCGTCTCTACAATTTAAAAGAAAAAAAAAATATCCAGTCACGATAGCGCACACCTGTAATTCCGGCTATTTAGAAGGCCGAGGCAGATCACTGGAGCCCAGCAGGTTGATACTGGGGTGGCTGTGAGCATGCCACTGCACTCCAGCCTGAACTACGGAGTGAGACTCCCAACTCAAAAAAAAAAAAAAAAAAGATCTTTATATGGGTGTCAACCTTGCTGTAGGCTGCGAAGTTGGAACAGGATCATGATGCCTATACTTTTATTTCCTTCTCTGCCCTTCAGCAACTTACTGATCTCTCTTGTGTTTTAGGCATTGTGCTAGGCCCAGGGGTTATAGCAGTGAACCAGACAAGGTCTCAGTCTCAGATCTTCCATTCTGTGTTTCTGTTACATTTCTACGGTTTATTTGTACATAATGCAGGGATCATAGCATCTTCATTGAATTAGCAGCATTATTAACACAAACTGGGCTGTGAATTGTCTCAGCTATGTTATGTTCAAACTTATGCATGTGCAAAATGTAGATATTTGAATAAATAATACCCTGGTTATTTGTTCAAAATTAGTTGTAAGTGTATATATTAAATATAGTTTACTTTTTCTAATTCTGATTCTAGAACTACATGTAGCATTCCATTTGCAAGTGAATTTCCAATAAAAGCCTCAACCATTAGCTGGATGATCTCAAGTTGTACTTAAAAACTAGATCTTTGTCACTAGTTTCCTTTGTAATAAGAATGAACTGAACAGTAGTTCTGTGCTGCTGTGTCAGTCATGTGTCTGGTCACCGAGTGCAACTCTCTGTTGGCAGTTATGGGGAAGGCAGAAGGCTCCGTGGCTAGGGAGGAGTGGCATGGGCACGTCACCGCTCTGTCTGTCGCCCCCGAATTCCGACGCCTTGGTTTGGCTGCTAAACTCATGGAACTACTAGAGGAGATTTCGGAAAGGTGAGATTCTGTTCTTCAAACAACTTCAATGATTTATGAATCCCCAACCATTTCATTTTTCTCTGGTGACCATTTGTAAGATTTTTCCCTCAGACTAACAACTGTCATACTTTACAGTTGTCAGGAGTTTCATTTCCATCTCCAGTAGACCTTACAGCATTTCTGTCACATATCCAGAGTGCCATGAGTGTTTATATTTTGCCGTTGAGGAAAATTAAGGCAAAGAGTTGGAGTGAGCTGCCTGGGGCCTGTAAGCTGGGTCATTGGTGTCATCAAAGACCATCCCTCAAGGCTCCTTTTAGTGTACTGCCACCATGGCAAACACTCCCAAACCTGCTAATACCGCCCTTCCTCTGAGTCAGTTTCTCCCAGTGCTCCTAGGCCAGAAGAAAATAGTTCTGTCTTCAGTTATGTTCTACCTGCTTAAGTATTTATAGGCTAACAGCCAGAAGATAAACGGAAAGAAAATAGATGTTCACTTTATCTTCAAGCTACTGGTCCCTAGTGATGAGATGTGTGCACCTGCTGGGCACTGAAGGATGAGTCACACCTTGGAGGCAGGTGCAGCCCAACCACCTGCGTTCCTGCTTCACACTAATGCTGCTGGTTTTTCCTAATCACAGCAACTGCCAGAAACCCAGCTTCAAAAAAATACTATGTCATTAAAAGGAATGTAGCACTAATGTTGAATTTGTGAACTGCTTCATACTAGTAGTTTGCCAGAATCTGACATGGGAGGGTTTTGCAATGTTCCCTGACCATCTGAAATACCCTCTGGTGCCTGGATGAGTTGGGAACTACCAAAATTATGGCTTTTTTATTTAAAAGAGACCTGTTGTATATTTCAACACCTCCCTTAGGTGAGATAAAAGCAATCCAGTAATTAAAAGAGAAAGCTTCTCTTCCCACCTACCATTTTAGACGAGCTAAGATATGTGCATGACCAGTCATCAAACTGCCATTTCTTTCTCTACTGTAAATGCCTAAAAGTATAGCAAGAAAGAGAACATTTGCTGATCAGGACTCTTGAGGCATCCTTTCCACCTAATTATTAGATGTGATTAAGACAAGTTTTAAAGAAGTAACTGTGGCCAGACAGACATTCTGGGCAGGTTAGAGGCTAGAGGAGCTTGACCTCGTTCAGAGAGGAAGCAGTGTGGGCTGAAAAAGGAGGCAACTGCAGTCTTTGAGACTTCAAATTCTCTCCTAGATTCAATGAGAAAGGGAAGACAGTTTTTAGCAAGGTTGTGGTTTATATGCATTTATTAATGACATACCTTGTTGGCATTATAGGATAGTGAACAGTTAGGAAGTGGGTTCTAACTAGCTGTGACCTTGTGCATGTGACTTGTTGTACTCATAGTAGATTCTCTATCTCTGAGTAGAAGCCACTAAGGCCCCTTCCTGCCTGTTTCTAAACTTTCACTATTTTAGTATAGTTGCAAAGATTTGGGTGCATGTATATGTTTATACACACATACACATGCTTATATGCATGTACTTTTTAGTGTAGACATTATAAATGGAGACAGTATATAGTTTCTATATAGGTACAGGAGAAAAAAAATTGAATTATTAAAATTAATGCCAAAGAAGATCAAAGTTAAACTGGCAAAACAGAATGTATGAAATAAGATGGTAGCTGTGAATCCAAATATTATCAGTAATTACAATAATAAATATTCATGGACCAGGATTGAGAGGAATGAAACTGTTATTGTACACAAATATGATTGTACAAATAGAACATCCACAAGTCTATATATAAATGTTTAGCATTAATACAAGCTGGGTGAAGTTGCTGGGAATAAAGTCAGTATGCAAATCAACTGTATTTCTAGATACAAACAGTAAAATTTAGAAAAAGATGCCATTTACAATGGCATCAGAAAACATTCAGTGCTTAGGAAAAATCTAACAAAAGCTGTGCAGGACCTCTTTGACATTTATACAACTTGACTGAGGACATTAAAAGTGACCCAGCCTGGCTCAGTGCAGTACCAGGGATATTGTGGTTTTGTTTTTTGTTTGTTTGTTTGAGTTGGAGTCTCACTCTGTCACCCAGGCTGGAGGACACTGGCATGCTCCCGGCCACTGCAGCCTTGACCTGCTGGGCTCAGGCGCTCCTTCAGCCTCAACCTCCCAGGAAGCTGAACTATAGGTATACACCACCATGCCCGGCTAATTTTTTTTTATTTATTGTAGAGATGAGGTCTTGCTAAGTTGCCCAGGCTGGTCTCCAGCCAGAGGGCTCAGGCAATCTCTCACCGCAGCCTCCCAAAGTGCTGGGATTATAGGCATGAGCCACCATGCCTGATCTGCACCAGGGATATTGTAAGGTGGGCAGTTGGCCACAGATCTGGTGTCACTGCAGTCACAATCCTGGTGTGTTTTGTGACTTGTTAAGCTGATTCTGAAACCTACAGGGGAATAGAAAGAGCAAACAAAAGACAAGATATCCTTGAACAGCAAAAGCGGGGGTGGATTTGTCTCTCCAGATACCAGACTGTGATGAGCGAGACAGTGCCTGAGGGCTGGAGCTGTTGTTTAGGCCAGGGGACAGAATTTGAGAAACAGACCCTGTAACGGGATGTTACATGCCCCAGAGGAGGCACTGCAGACCCGTGGTGTAAAGGCAGACTTTTCATTGCAGGTGAGGAACTACTGAATTTCCATAAGGAGGACATTTTCCCAGATTACTATCTTGCCATACACATATCAATTCTAGATTTATTAATAAACTACAGAGTCCCTTGAATAGAATAGATGACTAAAATAGATGAGTGCCTCCATGGCCCCAGGGTGGAAAAGAACGTAAAAGGCTGTAGAAAGTGCTGACTAAAGGGAAGGCTCATGTTCTCCATGTCACTGAAGTGACTTTGTTCATCCAAAGATGCCGAAAGAATAATGACAAGGCAAACCACAGGCTGGAAAAAGAGATTTGCAAAAACACTACATACTGTTGAATACCCAGAGAACTACTATTGGGGAATAACTGGAAGTGCTGTACAGAAGGAGAAGTCTAAATTCAGCCTCATTGGTAATCACAAAAACAATCACATGGAGATACCATTTCACCACAAGACTGGCGAAAATGAAAATGTGTGGTGCACCAAGGCTTGCTCCTGTAGGAATGGATTCTTGTCCACTTCTGAGAGTATGAGTTGGTACAAGCTGGTTGGAAAACAGTTTGACCTTAACTAATAAAGTTGCAGATGTGCATTCCCCTGTGATAGCAGTGGCACCTCCTGTGAACCAGAAGCCAGGACACACTCAATGGAAGTGCTTGTGGCAGCAGTTTGTTATAGTAAACACCAGCGGTGTCTGTCAGGCCAGGCTGCTGTGTGGCCAACCCCTGCAGTAGAATGCTGAGCACAGGAAGGAGCAGGCTCGGCTGCCTGAGAGGCATCACAGAAGAACATGGAGACGCAGGAGTCCACTCGGGAAAGGTCCATGATAGGAATAACTGCATCCTCTTAGGTGGCGAGTCTTCAGCAGGAAGCAAGGAGACCATAGGCTACTCATATAAGCCAGGACGTGGAGGCTTTTGGGTGGGGTGTGGAGGTACAGCTGGCAGTGCCACTCAGGCCCTGGCCACATGGCCACAGGTTCCGTATCTCCCATCTGTATGTGTGGACAGAAACAGTGTGTGCAGGACAGTGTCTGCCATGACTAACCTGTAAAAGGAGCAATCGATGACCATGACATAAAACACACGGGAGTTTTTTTAAGCCACACAGCAGAATAATTTTAAAAACTTTTTTTTTTAGTTTATCTTTAAAGAAAACGTGTTGTGGCATGCAGACACAGAGGTCATCTTTTTTGTATTGCAAAGTAATTGTCATAACTCTTAATAAAAATTGCTGCTTTCACATAATTGGTTGCAAATGTCTATTATCACCGTTCTATTAGTAGCCAAAGCAAAGTCAAAACAAATATTTTTTAAAAACACATATCCATTACCTCTAAGATTTCTCACATCCTAACATCTTTCTTTTTTTTTTTTTTTTTCCTAAAAGAAAGGGTGGATTTTTTGTGGATCTCTTTGTGAGAGTATCCAACCAGGTTGCAGTCAACATGTACAAGCAGCTGGGCTACAGTGTGTACAGGACGGTCATTGAGTACTACTCTGCCAGCAACGGGGAGCCCGACGAGGACGCTTATGGTGAGCTCCCTTCTGTGGTCACTGTTGCCCAGGCTGGAGTGCAGTGTTACACTCGTGGCCACCACAGCCTCAACCTGCTGAACTCAGACGATCCTTCTGTCTCAGCCTTTTAAGTAGCTGGAACCACAGGTGCACTCTATTGTACCTGGCTAATTTTATGATTTATTGTAGAGACAAGGTCTCTCCAAGTTGCCCAGGCTCGTCTTGAACCACTGAGCTCAGGCTATCCTCTTGCCTCCACCTCCCAAAGTGCTGGGATTACAGGCATGAGCCACCATGCCTGGCTTATTTTAACAATTAAAAAAATATATTTGACCTTCATATTTAAATCTCCTTTAGCCTGTCTTTATGAGTTTATTAATGATTAACTTTCTGTTAAGTGATCAATGGTCAATTTCTGCATGATTGTTTTACTGTGTTATAGGTATGTTATTTAACTGATAAGAAAGAACATTTGTGTTAGCTTAATCCTGTGGGATTTGGCTAGTATCTGGTATACTTGCAATTGGTAGCCTCATTTATAAATAGCGTTTTGCTTACAATTCGGTCGGCAGGGGAGGTGGGGAACTTTACCCACTCTTTGATAGAATACCTTTTGATATGTGGATCTTTAAACTGTGCTTCCATACAGATATGAGGAAAGCACTTTCCAGGGACACAGAGAAGAAATCCATCATTCCATTACCGCACCCCGTGAGACCTGAAGATATTGAATAACCCTGGGCAGTGGTTCTCAGGCAGACACTCCAGATGTGTCATGGACAATAGTGTTTTCATTGGATAGTCTTGGAGCTCTATTAGGAGAGAAGTAATCATGTAGGTCTTAAAGACTTCAAGAAAATACAGGTTACCCACATACTTAAGTCTCATTGTTCCCAGTTAGCAATATCATACCTGTTAAAGCTATGCACAGTCATGAGATTCATTTGAAAGATGGCCGAGCCAGAAAGAAACATGCCGCTGTCATGGTTCATAGCATTCATTGCGTGCTAGGGAAAAAACTTGCTCCAGTATCCTCCTCAGTTCTGTGCCAGAGAACCACTGCTGCTTTAAGCATATATAAAGCTTTAAAAGCATATATGAAATGTACAAATCTAAGATGTATAATAAAATACATTGTTGGCTGAATGTTTTAGTTTGGTTATATTTACTAAATCAGGATTGTGAAAGGTCATCACTTAGGATATTATCTGCTGCTCTCCCAGTTAAATTTTTAATTTCTAAAAAAAATTTTGATTTCTGTATACAGTATTATAAATGCATACTTGGAACAATCCCAGCTTCCTGCCTATTGCATAGTAAATTCCTCCCAGTTACTTGTTTTCATACTGTTAGTCCCAGATCTTTCTCCTCTCACAGTACTTTGCTTAAATTGTGACTTTTACATATAAAAAGATGCCAGGGTTTTCTTTTTTAAAGAGGAAAAAGAACATTCCTGAAAAGGCCATTTGCATCCTAGGCCAGCCACGTATTTTTATGTGTAGTTTCATCAGTTTTAATATCTGACAAGATCCAGTTAATAAAAGCAAAAAATTCACAAGAAATGATTATTTAAAAGCTTTTACTTTTGAAAGGACTTAATTTTGATGGAGTTGGGGTGGGAGAGAAAGGAACCCTTTGTGGTCTTACACAAGAGAACTATTTTTTTTCAAGCATTTCACACTGGCACACGCTTCTTACAAAACACAAGAGTGTGTGACTAAGAATGTTTTTGCTGTATATACACGCAACATAAACATAATTCTAGGAAGACTGTGATCAGTCATTTATATTAGCTTTCTGACCTGTTTTTCATTTTCCCCCTTTACCCTGGATCAGGGGTCCTCAAACTTTTAAAACAGGGGGCCAGTTCACTGTCCCTCAGACCGTTGGAGGGGCAGACTATAGTTTAAAAAAAAAAAGGAATTTGTTCATAGTTTTTTTTTTAAACTATAGTCCGCCCCTCCAACGGTCTGAGGGACAGTGAACTGGCCCCCTGTTTTAAGAGTTTGAGGACCTCTGTTCTGGACTTTCCCAAGGATATTAGAGTCAGATTCTCCTCACTGACTAGACAGACCTTAGTACTCAAGTCAGAAATGACCAGATGCCCCAGCGGCTCAGCACCTGTAGTAGTAAGGCTCACAGATCTGCCTTCTGCGAACAGTCTCGCTTCTACCTGTCCTCACACACTGTACCCTGGCTTTAGGTTAGTAACATTAGGCAGTAGCTCTTATTCCCTTGGGTGAATAATGCATTTGCACATTTAATAGTACATTTGCTTATGATCCTTATAGGTGAAAACAGTCTTAAAACAGTTCTAATCTTGGGCAGTGAACAGAACAAGAAAAAAATTTTCTTGAGAAATACAGGCCAGGTTAAAGGAAACAATCTCTCAGATCAGTTAATTCAAGCAAATAGTTTTTGCTTGAGAATGTGAGCAACATGTCAGCAAATGTTATTCTTAGGCTTAGTTTAAGTTTCATGTTTAGCATAGAGTTTGGTGTTTTTACATGTGCTCTAAGGTGTCAGGAGTTACAGTATAAATGTTTCCTACTGTAGATGTTGACTGGTACGCTAGGCAGAAATAAGCTCTCCACTAGTTTGGGAAGCAACATGGTCACGTGACTGTTTGGTGGCTCATACCAGTGAAGAGACCTGGTTACCAAGGCCTCAATGCAGAGCTTCCAAACTTACATGAACATGGGACTTGGCTTTCCACAGCACATGTGTGAACAAGCCATGGTTCTTGAAGCAAGCTGCTACAAAGCTCAACCACTCCGGGGAATGATGAGAGCCCCCGACTGAAATTAAATGGTTCTTTGTAAACAAGACCTTGTTCAGAACCATAGTCACTGTAAATTATTTTTCAGCAATGTTCTAAAAAGCATTTAGTAGAACCGGTCACTATTAAAGAAGGTGAGGATAATTTAAGTGTTAAATCACGCACATTAAATTCTATAAGGAATAAACATATTTGGCTGGGAATAAGCATTTTACTGAGCACTTACTGTGCTCAGGTATATTCTTTTTCTAATGTCATCTTCAAAATGAGCTATCAAAGTAGTATAGTCCATTTTATAAGCGAGGAAACTGAAAATGAGGGTTAAGTGATATAATCACTAAGTGGCAGAGCTGGAACTGAACTCAAGTCTGAGTGATTCTAAAGACATGGAAAATTTTCAAGTTGAATGCATAAACTCTCTTTGTGAAGAAGCAAGCATGAGAAAACTACACCTGAAAAGTTACTGTGGAATGTAACCTGAAAACTAAAAAAAAAGACCTCAAAGTCCCCGCAGGTTCTCTAGAACAGATGCTGAGTGTTACCTTCATTACCCTTCTTAGCGCGTGATACGGACAAACACTGGAGAAGTCTGGACTCAGTCAAAGAAGCAGTTACAAAGTCCCTTTACTTGCAACCCCCTACCCCTAGCTGACCCAAGAGCATTTTACAAATATTTCAAAAATTAGGTATCAAAGATGCCAGTCAATTCCTTACTGGTGAAATACACAAAAACTTCCAGGAGTCACAAGCGTTCCAAACAATTAATTTATAAAAATTATAAAACATTTATCAACATGACAAAAAGTTCAAGACTCGCTCTCATCTTCGTCTTTATCTGGATCCTGCTCGGCATCCTCCTTCTCCTGCTGCTGTTTCTTCCAGAGTTTGGCCATGGCCAGGAGCTTGAGGTTAGGCTGGTTGGCAGCATCTTCTGGAAAGATGTAATCAAAGTATTCTTCCCAGCCAGCATCAGACTGCAAAAACAACGAAAAGCAAACACCAGTTCAGAAACATTTCAGTTAAAGTAGAGAATTTCTACTGGGAATGCAGCGTTCAAATTCAATGTATCTTTCTGGTAGAAAACAACATCAAAGTCTACTGTGAAAGAATAGGGGCTGAAGGACTAGGAGTGAGGAGCTGTTGGTCTGTGGCTGCTGCAGCTGCAGCTCAGCAAGAACTGAAAACCTGGTGGAAAAATTCTACAAATCTACACACAGCTTGCCTGGAGTCAGCCAAGACACCAGGTGTCTCCAACTCCCTCACGCAGCCTTATGTTTCAGACTCTTCACTTGGAATGATTTGTACTTAGTATTTATGTATCCAGTGGCAAGAGCCACCCCTCTGAATATCACTACCTGAGTCCCTGTCTCATCCTCACCTGCGATTGACCACTGACCGCGCTTTCCAAACACTGTCCAACAGGCCCGCCCTAGCTCCTGCTTCCACCCTCTTGCTTCGCTTGCAAAACTGCCTCCTGACGGGATGTGGCTGGGTCTGCTTCCTCCAATCTAAGCCCGTGTGGGATGCCAGTAACCTATCAGGTCAAGTTACGCATCAAAGCCTTCCCGATCCCCACCCAATGCCAGCCTGCAGCTGACAGAGACTTCCCCACACAGGCTCCATTTCCTCCACACTGGGCCCTGCCGTCACACTTTGGAATACACTTCACATAGTTTCTAGACTCATGTCGCCACGATGTCTTCCCACGCTCCACCCCTGCTTGGACTACACATCCCGCCCTGTGATTCCAGAATAGCTAGACTACAGCCATCTACTCCAGGCAATCACTCCCACTCTAAGCTGTACACTTGGGATGCAAGTTGATGCTCTGGGCTCACTCCTTACCCCATCATCAGCCTGGACCTTCCTCCTCTTCTTGACCTTCTCTGGCATGAGCTTGTCCACTCGCTCCTTATCTGACACTGTTCCAAATTCTTCCTCAAAGCTCCGCCAGGACTCCAGCAGCATGAGTCTCTCCTCCTTCTCTTCACAGTTGCGCATGGTCTTGTTCGCTTCCTCGTAAATCTGTCTACATTTAGCCAAGCTTTCTTCTTTCCCTGAAGACAACTCAAACTGAGCAAAACTGATCCATACCTTAAAAAAAGATATCATGGAACCCAATTAACCATGTCACCCGGAGTGAATGTAACAATAATAAAGCTCATTCCTATTAAGTGACATCTGAACATAGTGTGTTCCTTTCTGGTATTCCACTGAATGTGACATATTGAATATACACTTTAAGAGACACTGAAGCAATCTGGTTCTACATTCTACATTCAAGAAGGTGTCTGACATAGTCTTCAAACCTTGAAAAGAGTTTAACTTTTTTTTTTTATCTTGTGATATCCAAGTTACACACATGCAGTATAAACAATGAGCTGGTATACACTTAACATTCCAAGGTCCTCTGAGTTTCACCTCACACTGCTGGGTGTGGTGGCTGACTCCTGTAATCCCAGTATTTTGGAAGGCGGAGGTGAGAAGACTGCCTGAGCCCAGGGGTTTGAGACCAGCCTGGGCAACATGGCGAGACCTTGTCTCTACAATACATCAAAAAATTAGCTGGGCATGGTGGCATATGCCTGTGGTTCCAGCTACTTGGAAGGCTG